GCGCGCGGGACACATTACAATTTTCAGTTGGTAGGAAATTTTGTCCGGATGGCGGCAGAAGCCTTTAACGTGCGCAGGTTGCACACGGAACCTCCGAGATTTTTCGCCCTTGTCCGAGAGGGCTAGGTGTAGATCTTTCCAACCAGAAGATCAGGGGTGTGGATGAGAGACAGCATTAAGAAGGAGCCAAGGAGAAACAGTAGAAAGGCTGCAGAAAGAGTCTGGAACCCAGAGGAGGGGGCAAATGAGGTGAGGGGGAGGGGGCAGAAAGAGGAAACGAAAGCAGACCACAGAACATTGCTAGAAAGCAGGAAAGAAGGTGAAAGGAGACAATTTTAGAGAAGAAAAATTTTCGGTCGCTACCCGGATTCGAACCCGGGACCTTTAAATGAGAGGCGAACACCTTAACCTCTAGGCCACGAGAGCCCCCCAATCCGATATCTGTGATAACTGTTCTTCGTCGTTGGAAAAAGGGACGCCTTCGTGCAAGACACCCAGTGTGTCACATAAAACTGCAGGCCTTAAACATCAAGCACAGATTTCATTAGGTACAGCATCGGGTAAGAAGGCCATGGCGTGTTTGAAATACGTATACGTTTTCAGATGAGTCCCAAATTCTCGAGCATAATATTGTACCTTTCTTTCAAAATCAAGCCCAATGGCAAGTATGCATGATAATGCACCTTGCTCATTTGACATATCAATTTCTCAAAACTAACACCATTCCTGCCCCGCACCCATGACCAGCACATTCACCAAATCTCAATCCATTTGAGCATTTGAACGAGCCATTCGTACCAGACCGCGTCAGCCCCCGACCTTTGCTCAGTTAAAACAAGCCTTTAGTTTGAGAGTAGAATAGTATCCTTTAAGAGACAATAATATTGCTATGTCGATTCATTCAGCCCATTCATCGGCAATATGAAGTTGTGATCAACGTCAAAGGTCATCACACTCATTACTGAAGCAGTCACTTTGTATCTATGCCCCTGACAACTGTACGTTCAAAGTTGAAATGAAGATTAAAAACAGTCTTCTCTTTGCATTCAACGTGTTTCCCTGGTTGTAAAATTATGAATGCGCTGTCTTATCTGAAAATTTCTGACGGATGTGATGAGTATTAAGCAAGATATTGCCTTTAATAATAGTCCGGACAACACCAAATGGACAACGTGTCGACCTCATTACACCGAATCTAAGAGGCGAATCTCTCTGATTTTTGCATACGTCTCTGAATTCTAAAAGACCTAAAGAAAAAAACGATTTTCGTGCACATGCAACAAACATAAAGAGGTGTTTTCTATCATTAGTAATTAATTGCTCATAAAACTCAACACCGCGCACTTTTTATAGCAAATACGGTTACTGTGCTAAAACCATAACAATACAGGTGTCTTTGCAGGGGCTTAGCCAGAAATTTCGGGGGTGGGGGT